TTTCTTTTGTAGAAGAGGCTGGAATACTTTGGATGTGATTGGTCTAGCCTTCAGTCGGCGTAAAGGACCTGTAGTTAGCTTCAACTCTTGACTCCTTCGATTTTCGGTCTATTCAATGCTTTGACGAATAGCCGAAGTTCTTCCGGCGCTGCGTTTATCGCCTGACCGTCGTCGGAGTCTCGAGTCTATCACCAGTGAGTTGAGTTTGGCTCGTGTCATTGACTTTGAACTGACTATCTCTGTCACGTTGCGTTGACTTAGGGTTTCAGATCACCGTATGTTGACTTTTTGTCGCAACGCGTTGAATGTTGACTTTTTGTCGCAACGCGTTGACTGCCGTTGACCTAGGGTTACGCGTTGACCGGTGTTGACCCTAGGGTTTCGAACGTCGAACGTTGACATAGTTTATACTCGTACGTTTACTGGAGTATACACAGTTTAAGCTCTTAAGGTATTGGAGCACGGCGGTCCCAAGTTTCGAGGTTGCAGGACCAACTGTTAAAGCTGATTCATCTGTATTTGTGGATCTTATTTTAATGTTGTTGGATAATCGAGTCACGAGACCAACTAACAGAGCTGATGCATCAATGACTCGCACTTATAGAATTTTTGGCAAATTCTCAGCCATCAACGGGTTTGATGAGCCTTTACCGACTACCGTTTGAGTCGGGCTAGCATGCAGATTGTTTAGATCCGTTCTGCACATAACGTTGTGCTAAAAGAGTTAACTCTTTTAATGCTACGACATTGAATACGTAGACTTCGTCTTTCTCACGGGAATAGACTACCCGGCAACGCGTGTTAGGCGTTGACTTATCCTTACTTAGTATTCAGGATAAAAATCCCCAGACTCGGATTCTGGTGTCTTCTTCAATCGGTAAAAGACTAAACCGGCAACGCATGTTAGGCGTTGGCTTATCCCTGGTTAGGCTTCGGGATAAAATTCCCCATGCATAAAAGGCATGGATTTTGGGATTTGAAAAAAGGTGGTGTCTTCTCTTGGGGCAAAGACGAACCCGAAATAGGAAGACTAACCAGCAATGCGTGTTAGACATAGACTTTGGGATTTTTGGCAAACCCCCAGCCATCAACGGGTTTGACGTGCCTTTACCGATTACCGTTTGAATCGGGCTAGCATGTGAATTATTAAAACCCGTTTCACATGTAACGTTGTGCTAAGAGAATTGCTTCTCTTAGACTTAATGCTATGATTTTGAATACATAGACTTCGCCCCTTGTTACGGGAATAGGCTACCCGGCAACACGTGTTAGGTGTTGACTCGTCCCTACTTAGGCTTCGGGATAAAATTCCCCAAGTTTAGACCTTGGTGTCTTTTTCAATCGGTGAAAGACTAAACCGGCGATGCGTGTTAGGTGTAGACTTATCTCTATTTAGGAGTTGAGATAAAATTCCCCGTGCACAAAGTGCCCGGATTGGAAATTGAAAATTGCGTCCTTTATCAGAATAAAGACAGATTGGGAAACGGGAGATGAAGAATTTTATATTCTATCTCCCGGGACTGAAGAGGAAGAATTTTATATTCTATCTACAGTCGGAAAGGAAACTCAAGGTGGGATCTCCACCCTCAGAATCCAAAAAGATGAAACTAAGAGTGGGATCTCCACTCCGAGAATCAGAAAGGTTCGAACGACCCTAACTTTTATAGGATTGGTCATTTGAATCAAAAGAATCCCTCATTCATTGAGGAGAAAGCCCAATTTCGACCCTAACTTTTATAGGTTTGGTGGAAAAAGGAACAAAGGCGAATTTTCGTTTATCGAAAAGGAATGACTCGGTCTTAGTCCTAACTACTTGTAAGCTTGACTAAGTGAGATTGGGAACAACCCTAACTTTTATAGGTTTGATTGTCCGAAATGAAGGTGGACCTCTCGTTCATGGAAGGAATCGAGAGGGGACTTTGGTTGTAGTCCTAACTATAGGAAGGTTTGACCAGGTAGACAGTGAGAGTGGGAGTACAAATCACAGTGGGGGTTTAGTGTTTATCACTTTGTTCGTAATTATTGTGTTATCCCTAAGAAAATTACACATAGTGTTCTTCTGGGAACTTCCCATTACATGAATCATCCACCCCCAGCTTCTTTCTTGGAACTGGGTCTGACTTTGTACTCCGTTACATGTCCGGGTTATCCTTAAGAATATTAGCGTAACATTCTCCAGGAACTTCCCATCAACGGTAGGAAACAGTTTAGACTCATATACCTATTGGAGTATCAGGGAGCAGTTTATACTTGTATACTCTTTGGAGTCTCAGGGAGCAGTTTAACCTCTTATACCGGTCGGAGGATTGAGAAGCAGTTTATACTCTTATACTTATCGGAGTGTTAAGAAGCAGTTTATACTCTTATACTTGTCGGAGTCTTAAGAAGCAGTTTATACTCTTATACTTGTCGGAGTCTTGCCGTTCTCAATTGGCTTACCCTAGCGTTATAACGCCGGCTTCAATCAGGATTTGGATGATGTTCTTTAAAGTAAAGCACGCCTTGGTAGGATGCAGGATCCTCCTGTGATATGCGCAGTACTTCGGATCCGCAGTATTGTCAGCTTCCTCCTGATTGACGATAGGTGGTAGCTTGATCTTATTGTTTTCACGGAGGGATTCGAAGATGGCTGGAACGTCTTCGTCCTTGAATGAGTACTCTTTTTGGGACCTCAGATCCAAACTATTCTGCTGTCTTCGGAGCTGGTGTTGTGACGTTTGATTAACGTCAACAACTGTTGTAGGTGCCTTCCCTTCATCATGGGACACGAGACTCGAATTCAGAGGGTTGACTATCGGTTGGTTTCTTTCGACCTTCCTCCTTCTGAGGAAGCGTTCGGCCTGTTCTCCGCGTACCTTCAACTCTTTCCAGGTATTGAGCGGCTCTACTCCCATAACGTCCAAGATGTTAACGGACAAGTTATTATGACAGGTTTGCAAGACAAATTCCTCCGTGACGGGATCCTTGTAGTTCATTGCCTGATTGCGAAAGCGTTTGACGAAGGTATCCACCGACTCTCCGTCTTTTTGTTTCTCATCGAAGAGTGTCCTGATCGACACTTTGGCATCATCATCGAAGAAATGAGTGAGGAACATGCTTTCCAGGTCCTCCCAGTTGTTGATGCTTCCGGGCTTGAGGCGGTGGTACCAATCGAAGGCGGGCCCGCGAAGGGTGCCAACAAATGACCGGACTATGAGAGGCTCGTTGCCAGAGATTATGCCCAAATGGGACTTGAAGTAGATTAGATGCTGAGTGGGGGAACCCTTCCCGTCAAACGGTGTGAAGTTGATCAGGTTGAACTTCGCCGGATACGGAATCGATTCCCATTCTCTTGGGTAAGGACACGGAATGCCGGTCTTCTTTACCTCTTGAGCAGACATCAGGGCATCAATTTTGATCTCGAGATCCTTCATCTATAACGGGGTCACCCCCAGCATTATCATCTTTGGTGGGACCAACCCTAGTATTATTGTCCTTAGTGGGACCACCCCCAGCGTTGTGTTCATCCACATCTGAATCGCTACCTGCTTGGTTAGCAGTGTTGTGACGGCTGGATTCACCTAGCTGATTCGACAAAGCTCGGATTTGTTGGTCGTGCATTTGTCTCATCTCCTGCATGGCCATTTTCATTTTAATTTTGAATGCTTCTTTTTGCTTGGCTAGAGCATCCTCAATGATTTTTGCTATTTGCTCGGTGTTGACCATGAACACTTCCCGAGCTTATCCTATGCTAGACGTTGTATCGTCAGAGGCGATTGCGGAATAAGAATCCGAGAGTTCATCATCGGAATGTATTCCTTCATAGCCACCTTGGTGATCACTATGTCCAACGGTTTCTAGCTGAAGGGCAGATATTTGTTGGGTTATTCCCGAACTAACTCTTCTTCCTAGAGAGAAATTAGGGTTGGAACCACTTGAAACAATCGGAAATTTTCCTTTACTGGGAATTCATCATCTCGAGCAACTGATCCTCTTTGGTGAAAACGCCTTGATTTGGGCTTCGTC